TTACTTATGCCTTCTAGATTTTTCAAAAGCATTTGATCGAGTTGATCACGCTTTGCTCTGTAAAAAGCTCATAAATAAGTTCCACTTCTCCAGTTTAGCTTCTAAATTTATTTTTAGTTATTTAACTGAGAGATCTCAGTCAGTAGTTACTGATAATAAATTTTCAAATTTTAAACTTCTGTTTTCTGGGGTTCCTCAAGGATCGATTCTTGGGCCATTGCTATTTTCGATCTATATTAATGACGTTTTCTCAGTATGTCAATTTTCGAGGCTACATGGATATGCCGATGATATACAAATGTATTATTCGTGTCGGAGTGATAATTTAAATGACATTGTCACAAAGATCAATATAGATTTAACATGCATACATCGCTGGGCGGTTGAAAACAATATGCTGCTAAATGCAGATAAAACCATCATATTGCCGCTTAGTAGGTCTGAATTAAACTTAGACGAATTACCATCGGTAGCTATTGGAAACTCAATTATTAAATATAGTGCATCAGTTAAATGTCTAGGATTTAATTTGAATTCAAAGCTACATGCCTCTGATCATATCAATCATGTCGTTAGGAAATCATATATTTGCTTCAGATATTTGAATTTATCTGCTAAGTATACCCCTGTCCATGTCCGTGGCTTATTGGTCAGACAACTAATATTGCCTATAATTACTTATGCCGCGTTGGTGTACAGCAAACTGGACTACGAGTCCCTTGCTAAACTGAGAACAGTAGTAAACTGTTGTACTAGATACGTCTACGGCCTTAAACGTTTTGATCATCTAACAGTTTATAGAAACGCTATACTGGGTTGTGACATTGAGCAGTATTTAAATATTCGAATCTGCCTATTTCTGTTCCAATTAAAAACTTCTAAATATCCTGAGTACCTTTATAATTGCTTGCAGCCTATGCGTTCCACAAGATCTCTCCTTTTCATAATTCCAAGATTTAATTTTGTTGCTACCACTAGGTTTTTCTTTATTCATTCAATTCGATTATGGAACGCTTTGCCAAGTTCAACCCGAAATGCATGTGATTTAAGAGTTTTTAAAAAGTTATTGTTAACTGAACTTATTTGATTTATTATTTTTATTTTAAATTAAATGTTAATATTAGTTTAATTTTTATACTTCCTTTATATCATATAATAATATCCAATTTGAAATTATAGCAAAATTGTATTTTTTAACTCAATTTTATTATTTTCTACTATTTGTAATTTTCAAAATAAATTGTACTTGAATAAATATCTTGTTAGCTTTTAAGTTAGTTTTTAAGATAGTGCAATAAAAAGCATGTACTTAATGCACTTAATATTATAAATAAATAAAATAAAATAAAATATAGCAGAAAAATATAAAACAAAATTATTTTATATATGATACATTCTGAGAATTTTAAATACAATACCCAAAAAGAAAAAAGAAACTACCCACAAAGTATTGAGTATTGTACAGTAAAATATTATATATGATTTAATATAATAAATAATATATCAAAAGATAGTTATAGTAATTGTGTGTAGTTAATATAATTGTGTGGTTTTTAATATGTACACATATTTTTACAAAATATTATTCATATAAAAAATATTGAATATTTCAACGAACTGACTAGAAACCACATGTTTTTAGTTGTCATCAAGACGTTTTTTTGAACCAGCATTTGTATAAGTCGGTGGGCCGAAATTCTCATCACCTATTGGGAATACTACAGGCATTTGTTCTAACATTAACAACCCAACAGCAGCGTCCAGTTCATCTTGTGTATAATCAGTTACTCTAGAAATGGAAATAAAAGATTGTATATTTAAAATTAATTAAAATATATAATTTCTATATAAAAATGAAATTTTGTTATACTTAAAATTTTACTATTTTATTTCTTTAAAAAACATTTAAAGTCTTTTTACCAATTTGATATTTTACAAAAGATTTTTTGCAGATACATTTTTATAGTGAGTTAAAAATAAATTCTGGAAAACTTTGAAGGATCACATTTTATGCCACAAATAAAGTTTTACGAATGTGATATAGAGAAAGAATGTCTTAAAATCAACAAATGATTGTTTAGTTATATGATTTAAGATCCATATTTTTCGTGATATATGTTTGGGCGCTCGATTAACACCCAATAGTCGATCAGAATAATCTATTCTTTGACATGCTTCCTCCAAAGGCGTAGTGTAGCTTAATAGTGCTTAATCGAAAGGCTTAAAAACTGAAGCAATTAACAATACAACAGACAAACTAACTTATAGACAGACAAACATTGACAATTTAATTCATCTCGCCAGACATGTCCATACATGTCTGGCAAACTTACTGTAAGGATACAGTACTTATTAGTTGGAATGAATAATGTTATACTTAATACATTTTGATTCGAATAATTTTCTTTCAGACTTACTCTTTATGTTCAAGAGGTGGGCCAAGTACTACTGGGGTCTTTAACCGTCTCAGGCTTTCCAAAGTGTTTTTCTCATTACTGTTACTGCGAAAATGAAAAAAACCATAAACAATAATCATATATTCAGTTTCTACATAACAAAAATCTTAATTATTTTCTTAAATAATAGATAATTTTTAATTAAAATAATTTTTTAAAAAACTTACTCTGCGCCTTCTTCCATTGCGGAAAGATTTTGTGAATAAAAGAAAGAACAAAAAGTTTTGGGAACAAAACAAAATAAAAATTTCTGTTCCTAAAAATTTATTTTTATTTCCAGTGTTCCAAAATGTCTTTTTTTTTGTAGAGATCATTTTTAACGTTTATTGATGGACTATTTTAATTTGTAGTAAAATAATAGTTAACGATATAAAAATCTGCACGGGAATATTGAAAAAAATTTAAGTAAGCTTTTATTATAATCAGTATTAAAATCTTATTGAAGAGATTGTACATTTATATTGACCCAACACATCCAACACTCTTGTTAGCATAACAAGCATAACCAACCGCAGAGTCATTTAATCAAATGAACTACCAAAGTTCATAGTTATATAGCATGTACCTCAAATGACTGATATGGGTCAAAAATCACAATTGCAAAGCAAATGACTGATTTTTGCATACAAAATCTTATATGCGCAAATGGGATCCACACTCGCGGAATGGAGCTCATTTTGCATAAATGAGTTCCAACGAGTTTTAAATGAGTTCCAAATTAAATCAACAGGCTCGTTGACAAATCAGCTGTTTGAAATGAGAATAAATGAATAACAGCGAATGTAAAGACTCTTAAATGACTGATTTCAAATGATTCATTTGCGGTCAGTGTAAACGCCATATTAAGTTGTTACTTTAACTCGACTTTAAAAAAAACAAAAAGCAGTAGACAAACAATTACCAAAACTTTGGTGAGCACGCCAACATGTTGGTTGTGTGTCATTCAAACGTGCACACTATCATTTTTGAATGTCATTCTTAGATTTTCTCTATTGAATGACACTCAAAAATGATAGCCTGTACAACGCTTTAAGGTGAAAAATGTCAAATGTAACCCACAAAAAAAATTTGCCACAAAGAAAACTACTAACTTTGAAATATGTGTCATATGTTTTGTATGCAAAATGCATTCAAACAACAGCTGAGCTGTAAACAAAGACACTAAGGAAGTAAGTATTTAATAAAATCTTTGTTTTTATCAATTGAATATGTAATTGATATATAAAATGTATATAAATGATAAATATATTAATTATATATTTAATTTATATTTAATAATTATATTATTAGCGATTTATGAAAACAGGCTGTGTTGCTTACTGTCATTTTTTCTCCAAAACGTATTAAAATTGTAAAATCCTAAAAGGCGCAAATTCTAAAATTTATTACTAATCAACACTCTTTTGCCTTAGTGTCGAGGCACAAATACACCGGCTCTCATGCCGGAATTTGAATCGACATATTGTTTTACTCATGCCGTACCCGAGACACTCTGCGTTACATGGCCCTAACAGATAGAAGCTGTCTTTAAACTTTCACAAAACTTTCTGACACATAAAATTTGTTTCACATGCAATAAGTAACTTATGTCAATGGAAACAACAAATTTTTGAAGTCATATAAGTAACTTACTAAGTTAGCAGGTAATTCAGATTTTCACGTAAATACTGTTTCAAACTGTACTAACTTAGTATTGGCGTGTGCTAGAAAGGATATATATTGGATAATAAGCAATATATATAACTTTTAAACTATAGACTTTAGCTGATTTTTCAATCAGCTTTTTACGAAAGGAATATTAAGATATTTGAGATTCTATTAAATATTCATCATTATCTTTATTATTATTATATTTCTCAAATTACTTTCTATTGCTTTGTTTATATGAAAGATGTCCTCAATTGCAACTTTATGGTCTTTTGCACTGTAGATTACTGTTGCGACCAATTGATTTTTATAATACAAAGCAAAGCATTTACATTCCCTAAGTAATATTAAGACCGACACATTAAATATGTTTAATGAATTTGAAAGAAAAAACAGTGTTCACACCAACACTTTTATATTACTCAACTTGAAACAAGTCATTAATCAGCTGTTGTATTTATGTCTCTGCTTTAAAAATATTGTGAACAAAGTGTATTTGGTTATTAGTAAGTATTTTGAATCATAGAGTTAATAATTTAGTTAACAAATTTATTTTATTGATTTGTGTCCTTAATTTGCTACAGAAATGAGTTTGTTATTATAACAATTAAAAATAGAAATTAATTTAATCGTAGTGGATTGTTATATTTTGATTAGATTAGACATGTATTGAATTTACTATATATTTTATAAATATATAAAAATATATATAAGAAATTATAGTAAAATGTATATTAATTAAAATTTAATTTTATATTTTATTTTCATATATGGTAAACTTAATCTTATAAACTCTTTTGATTTGATTTTTTAAAGCCACATATTATATTTAGCGAATTGATTTTCGACCTGGTTTAGGGGCTGGTTTGTAGCCTGTTTTCACACCACCTTTTTTGCGACGTCCTTTACGGCCTGATTTGTGTTGTCTTTTACGATTTTCTTTTCCATCTGCTTTGGGTTCTAAGTTCTGTTTTGTCAACACAACTGGCACCTCCTCCTCTGCTTGTTTTATTATAATGTCAGGTAAATCATTTTCTTCTTTAATAGATGTTGATACTTCATCCTGGTTTTCGATTTCTTGAGTTGACAATAAATCTGTAGTAACTTCAGCAAAAACTACTGGTGTTGTTGCCAACATAAGTGAAGCAAAAGCGGCTTCTAACTCATCTTCAGTGTAATCAGTATGTCTATAATTTCTGGAAGAAGAACACATATGAAATCATCAATAAATACTATAATAATAATTATGTTTAATAGATATATAATAAATATAGTTTAAGTAATTTAAAAATTAAACTTAATTAAATTAAAGTTAGTTATGAGGAAAGAGATAGTTTTCTTCATTGAAAGTATTATTTTAATAGAGCAATTTTTTTGGACGGTAGTTAATTGCAACAACAAAATTTTATTAATTAATTTTTGGAAAAGCTTACAGCTGTTTCACGTATTGTCAAATACTTAGCTTCAGTGATCTTTTAACTACGGATGTAACGAAATATATAAATATATTTAAAAATATATATATTAAAAATATATACAAGAAGGTATATTTCTTATATGGCGGGGTTGAACTTGCTAAATTTGCTCAGAGTCAGTGTTCATTAACCAATTGACACAAAGACTTATACGTTTTGAAACTTCATTAACAAATTCATTTGCTGTGTTATATTAGCACCAAAATCATAAAATAGTTTTAGAATAATTAAATTAATTAATATTGTTATTTTAATTGTTCGAGTTTTGTGCTATTCATTTGTAGAGGCATTATTTATTGCATGCTTTTATATGCAATAAATAAATAAATTTTAAACATGTAAATAAAATGTTTAAAAATTATATTGACTTACTCTTTTTCTGCTTCCATTATCTTTAGTATACGTGGACTAGTCAGAAATAATAATATCGGCTTAAAACTCGTTGAAACTTTAAAGTTCTGTGTCCAAAAATATTTTTGAAATTGTTTACTTCAACTTTAATTCGAGAAATTGACCTGACTAAGTACGGAAATTTCAGAATAATTATTTAAAAATATTTTATATATTGATATTTCTGTTTAAAGCGTCTACAAAAGTTACTACAAAATAAAAAAAAACGGCGAAATGTCATAACTTTATATTAAAAACTAAAAAATAATATCTCTCTAGTTTAAATGTTTATTAAATTTTTGAAAAAATCCGTAATGTTTATTACTGCAGCACTGCTATTTACTCAGTATTTTTATTAAATATATTAAATAAATTTTAGTGATCCCGACATTAAAATGAAGACGGCTTTTCATAACTTAAAGAAGTGAATTATTAATGTAGCTTTTAATTATTAAAACTAATTTGTCACAAAATGCAAGCTATTTTATTCACACACTATATATTTTATATTAAAATTTTTTATACAATCTAATAATTTATTTATATTCAATTAGTTTAGAATTTTAAATTATTTACATTTTTATTATTCACTTTCTGATCGCAGCTTTCTTTTTGGCGCCAAATACATTTTTTTAAATGTCAAACTTCCAATGCAGTGACTTTTAAACATTTCTAATTAGATTTGTACTAATTGGACTAGTTTTATGGCATATATATTTTGATTCGATTAATAATAAATACCAGTAAAAATCATATTAAACATTATGTTTAATAAGTAAACTCATTTTGTGTCAAATATCAAATTATCAACAAAATAAATTTAATCTTAATGTAAAAGAAACTTACTTATAATTAATACACCTCTCTTATAGATTTAATTAATTAACTACTATAGTTGCATTATACATCTACATTATATATCTAATTTAGTAAATACTTCAACATATATATAGTTAATTATTTTTTATGAAAATTAACACAAACTATGCTTCTGTATGCAATTTGTAAAACATTATTGGCTCGTATAACAGAAAAGTATTTTACTACTAATAACATTCAAACTGTTGTACTGCGTGCGTTTGTATAACAGTTACTTCCCACTGCATTCAATATAGTTTAACTACAGTGAGTGGTAAAAAAGCACAAACTGTAGGCACCAAGTGTTTCTTCAAGGTTGGTGGAGGCTTATAAGAAAATTCTAATTTTCAATAATAATAATTATTTTAATAATTAAATGTTTTAATGACCAAAAGAAATTTTTTTAAAAATAATTATTTCACGGGCTAATTGGTCAGTTATTAAGTAATATTTTTTTTTTTTTAAAAAAAAAAATAAAAATTTTATTATTTAGTTTTATAAGATTTTTATTGTCCAATATTTCGACTATAATCTATAGTCATCATTGGGAACTATAATTATTTTAAATAATCATTTAATTTTTAAAATTCCTATAGGATTCTAAACTTGTTATCACAAGTATCAAATGTTGTGACTGTTTTTCTAATTATTCAATCTAAGAACAATTTTTTTGTTGTAGTAACGATATAGCAGAAATATATAAAACAAAATTATTTTATATCTGATACATTCAGAATATTCTAAATAAGATAAACAAAAAAACAAAAGATTAACTTATAATATACTTAACATTTAAAAATTATGTTAATGATATAATAACTAATATATCATAAGAAAGTTTTGTATAGCTATAAATATATGCACACTGCTATTATAATACACTTTAATCTTATATGATACTTTTAATATGAAGCCATATATTTACAAAGTATGAATTACGAAAAAATAATATTTTAATGAACTAGAGTAATATTCATTTATGAAATTAAAATTAGAAATCACATATTGAATGGGTTTTTATTTGTCGTCATGGCGTTTTTTTAAACCAACTTTTGAATTAGTTGCTGTGGTGAAGTCCTCATCATCATCTGTTAAAAATATAATGGGCATTTTCCTTAATATCAGTAGACCAGTAGCTGCATCCAGTTCATCTTGTGTATAATCAGTGCATGCGTCAGCTGTTGTTAGTGTTGCAGTTGAAAGCTGCGTTGCTTGATCTATTATTACCGAATTATCTGGCGAAATGTGTTCTCTTCACTACTACAACCCGTCGGTGATGGTGTACTCGTTACGGATTCCGAATGCACCGATTGTGTTTGGGTTTTATATCTAAATATTTTAACTTATTTATATGCTTTCTATAAATTTTTACTAAATATATTTATGTCAGTAAATACCAACTTTACAAATTTCGTTCAATTTATTAACATAGTTGGGTAAAAATTTTATACTAATCAAATGTCTAACGTGCGTTACTCACCCGCTACTTGATGGTGATAAACGCCAAGGTGTATTAGCACTGCCGACAAAATCTTGTTTATTAAAAACACGCCCACTACCACTAACTTTATTTGAATTAATTGAATCGCCAGGTTTTGCGCTAGTCGCTGTGGTGTAGTCCTCATCAGCATCTGTTAAAAATATAATGGGCATTTTCTTTAACATCAGTAGACCAGTAGCTGCATCCAGTTCATCTTGTGTATAATCAGTGATATTAGAAATGGAAATTTAAGATTGTAGAATATGACACTAAAGATACATAATAACGTTTAATTTTTTTTTAAAAATTAACTTTATTCAAACGAAATTTCTTTTTAATCAATGTATGAAATTGATCAATTTCACACTATAGATTTTTGGGTACTCAATTAGTAATCAATAGTCAACCACAATTATTCTCTCATCGACGTACAATCTCAAAAGACGCAGTGCAGAGTTTCTAATAGCTCAAAGATCGGACTAATTAACAATCCAATTGACAAACGAATACTTAGTCAGATAGAATATATAAGTTATGGAACCCGAGCATTTCGATAAGCTCGAAATGTACGAAACTTGAATATATATTTTAAGCTTTAGTATTTAACTTATATTAAGTAGAACTTGTGAATGATTGGAACAATTTCAACAATCATAATTATATTATAGTAATAAACATAATTTATATTTAAACAGACATTGACATTTAATTTTATGTTATGTTAAACAAGTACAAACATGATTGGCAAACTTACTTTATCCTTATTTATAGCAGATTGAAAGAATAAGGATATAATAAGGATAGTAAATACATTTTAATTTGAATAATATTATTTTATACTTACTTTTTATGTTCAGCAGGTGGACCAAGTCCTACCCGGTTCTTCAATTCCGTTAGAACTTTTATAGCGTTTACCTCAAGACTGAAACTGCGAAAATGAAAATATATTCAATTTCTATAAAAGAGAAAACTATTCTATTTTTAAATAATAAACTCTTTAATATTTATTAAATTTAAATTTTCAAAAAACTTACAAACTTACAAAAGTTCTTAGAAAATGTCAAAACAAAATTTCTTTTAACATTTCCAGTGTTCTAAAACGTTTCTTTTATTAAAGGTATTAAGATTGCTTTTTGTAATACTATTATTAGTAAAAGTTTGACACACATGAGAAGGGATAATGCTTTACTTTAATATATCGAAAATAAAAGTTAACGCTATTTAGATTGAAAAAGTAAAGCAAAATATCTGGATTTGACTTTTAATAGCAAATTTAGTTGTTCTAAAAATATTGGAGAAAAGAAGACCGCATGTAACTAGAAACTTCACATATTAAGACTTTAATGGAAAATTGAACATTTAAAATAATATGTTACTTTAGTAATAAGATTAAAGTGATAAGATCAAGTTTTCTCTATGGTTTGTTTTTAGTAAAGCGGTAAGCTCCACTATTACAGATTTTTGGAACTACCAAAATATTGTACCGATGGGATTATTAAAGATTTGTGGTAGCGAGACCATAAAGACTTAGATTACCAGACTGAAGTGTCTTCGATCAGGCTTACCCAGAATCAGGCTTAATTTTAGTGTGTTCACATTTATTAATTCACTTGATGATATTTCCGACAATGGTTTTGTCCAGGTACTTGCATTTATCAATACTTCTGTTTGGTTCTAATGTGACCAAATTACTATCCATAATTACAAGGAATGTGGTATTAAAGCGGTTTTTTTTACTAATTCAAAAGGATTTGATCGTTCATCCATTTTATCTATCCATCTAAGTATTGAAATTGTTGAATGTAGTGTTTGAGAAAATAATTAATAAAGAAATACTGATAGGAATAAACAGTATATAGAAGAACCAGATTTGCTTTAACTTAAAATTTTTCTTTCCCACTAACACTTGGTATTTTCTTGTTTTTGTATACAACAACACAAACAAAACAGAATCAGTTGCTTATGCAGTCTTTACCGAGAAACAACTTTACCGAGAAATAATTAAAAACTGATGTTCAGGCGTTTGTCATTTTATACCGATTACACGTAGTACTAACACTCCTTTCAGACGGAATATTATAATATGACTGCATATAAAAAAATACGATGTCAAATAAAACATATTTTTTGTATGGAGTTTTATGTCAATTTCTAGTGCGAAACAGATGTTGGTACTAGGGTTTACCAAGCAACATGTGAGAACCCTATTTGTTTGTGCTATCAATTCGTCCAACCTTAACTTTTATGAGAATGAAGTATTTTATTGCCAGTTACTTTCAAACTGTGTTATTGAGCACTATTGAAAAAATTTATTACCAGCATTATAAGGCATACCAAGACCTTTTCTGTTTCTGATCGCCAACAATTGTACTCAGCCACTGATCGTTAATAAGTTTACTCGGCCATTGATATACCGCAACATATTACTTCATTTTGGAAGTATATAGGACCATGTTATACAGGCAGTCATATGATGAATGATCATGACCAAAAGGCATGTTATACAAAGAGTCAAATCCCAATTGTCAATTTCCTACTTTTATTTCTATATTTTGGTGCATTTTTTGTGTACCTATATTTAAAAGATATTTGCTTTTGTGTGAATATAGAACTATAAGATATCTATACAAAAATACACAAATTCAGTCTTAATAGATGCAAATTCTGACATTTGTTATTAAGCAAGACTTTTTTAAACAGCATGACGTGACAGAGAACCTCGTCACCGTGATTGAAATTTCTCTCTTTTTCTTATTCTAAATTTTTTATCTACAATGAAACAACAATAGTGTGATCATGACTATCTGAACTACACGGCACTTAGTATGATCTGATATCATTATGTCAGTTCGTCAGGAAGTAACGGATATCTTATTCTCATCTTGATCACCTTTTGTCTTCTTATGACTTAAGCCCAATTTTACCTTATTCTTTTTGATATGGTTTTGCTTTAACTAAAATTGATTGCTTCTTTCGTCTTCAGATCTTTTTGGTTAGCATTGCATGTGGGTGGACAATGTGTTGCAATGTAATCAAATCACTTTATTTTATAAAAACGTACTGCAAGTTATGGCACTCTAATATGAGTGAAATATTTTCATTTACAGAACTAAGTGTGCTTGAGTTGTAGTTCATGAATACAGAGAACTACACTACCTCTAATAGATATAGAATGGTTGTCAAAATAATTGAATTTGAAAAGATACTCAAACTTTCAACTTTGATATTGACCATCACTATTAGGTTGATTCATCTCTACCTAATGGAGGAGTCGTGCCTTTGGTTCTATTAAATATCGACTTGCACCAATGGGGCGAGGATATTCAACATGGTTTTAGGTAAATTTAAGAAATGTGCTTCATCTGGTTGTATTATATTTGTACAACAAACATATCTTTCATATAACTACATACCCATTTCTGGACGATAATTCTATTGAAAGTTATAACTAGGTTTCAATAGCAGCAATAACTTACAACTGCATTTTCGGTTTATAAGGTCTTGTCTTTGCTACAAATACAACAGAATCTTCTTAGTGTCCATTGATGATTCGATAATATACTCGCTTATTTTCTTACGATAATAAACACTACTTATATAGTCTTGGGTAACACATAATTCCTTTAATACTTACTTGATAATGGCTTGCTTTATGCAATTTAAAGTTGAGATATCCCTCATGTATTCTCAATACTGACGTTTTGTCTTTTTTTTTATATTCGATTACAAGCAAAATATTACTTTTTTGGTTTTTATTTTATTCATTATTTTATACTCAGAGATACAAGTATTGATACTTTGAAGTATTCACATAATTATATACAGTACTTTTGAGAATTGATCATATGAGACACCATCCACTCTTTAAACTATCATATTATCCCTAGTAGTATCTAACTAATGCTGTTCATTTATAAAAAAAATTGAAGAACTTTACTTATAGGAATATCTTACTAGTAATACTACTAATAGTAATATCTAGCTTATGATGTTAAATTATAGGAAAATTGAAAGTCTTTACTAATAGGAATAAAAATCTTTTCAAAGGAATCTATAGCTTTCTGCTTAACTTTCTCAGAAGATAATACTCTCTAGTTATACCGAATTAATTCAAGAGATATTTCTACATCTGTAACTTTTCCTAAATAACGGCATTTTCTTAAGTAATGCTTAAAATGCAACTTACATTACCTTTGTCATAAATGCAACAAAGATCATAAAATTAAAATCTATATATATTTCTTATATCAATTTCTGATATTCTTTTTATTTTGTAATTTAAAAACTGTAGTGTCTGTCATAAGTCTTTTCTATTAAATATATTGCAAATCCTATATATTGCAAATCCTACAACTAGTGATATCATATATTTATATAGATTTGACGAGTGCCTAAATTCAATTTCTGTTAATGATCTTTTGTTCAATTAAGATTTAGCCTTTTTGTCTGAAGAACTTGTACTCAATAATGACTGTAAGCACTTAGGTAAAATATTGTGTTCCCCATTAATAAAAAGTACATTTATTTTAATATAATAATAACATAATATATACTATGTTTTAATATATTTTGACATCATATTGTTACTGCACATGTCCTATTATAATTATACCTATTATAATTGAAGGATTTGGAAATTGATTAGTAACCACAGATATTAATACTAGGTATAGGTTTTCGATGAATAAATTATGTAAGAATTTATTTCTCTGACGATATAAGGAATGCACTCATTTTAAAGATCGTATAATGCTGTGTTCCCCTGAAATAGAATATATAGTCACTCTTCAGCTTAACCTTTTAACGATATATAGATTGTACTGGCTTTAAAAGCTGTGTAATGCTGTGTTCCCCTGAAATAGATTATGTACTCACTCAGCTGAATTTAAGTTACTATAAGTATATTTCAACATCCATCACATTCTTCTGAGGAAATATAGATTGTACTTGTTGTAAAGAGGTTTCAAGGGTTTTGACTCTTAGCTAATATCACTGATGTTTTAATTAACAATAAAAACATTAAAATCAACTATCATTTTAAATTAATTATTAATTAATGTCATTACTTTCATAATATTTTAAATACATAACATCACTCTTGAAAATTGATCAATCATCTCCTAATTAGAAAGAAACGCTCTATTATAAAGCAAAAAAAATTTATATATTTTTTTGTTTTTTACTTATTTAATATATTTATGTATATATAATTTTATATCTCTCTAGTGTATATAAATTAAAATAAATAAATACATTATACTTTGTTTCATTAATAATTTTTTTCCTTTGTTAATTGTTTTTTTTTGTTTTTAATATTATATACCTTAATTATTTTTTATAATTATATTATATTAATAATTTATCATTAAAGTGTTTGGTATTATCTTTTTGTATTTTTTTTTTTTAATTGTTTAAGTTTTGACTTCTCAGATTTTCATTTACGTAGTGTTTTTATCTTTTATATACTGTAATAATTATAATAATAATAATAATTGTACAACATAGTATAACTTTTTATTTTAAAAATTTTATTTCATTTACTTTTAAATTTTATTCAACAAAACAAAAACAAAAATCCTAACAGGATATATAGTAACTTGTCACATTTCTTACTTTTGTCGCTTGTCGTTTTTGAATATTTTACTCTTTTTGACTGACTTCCATCCATTTGTTAATATCTTTTTGACTTTTTTGATCCTTTTCAACACTGTCAATAAAGTTTTTATTTAGTTTTTATTTTTTAATATACGGCTTTTAGTTATATACATGTTTATAATTTGTTTTATGTATGTATAATGTGTAGTTGTAATTCCATTGTTTTTTTTAAGTGCAAGTCAATTATAATGATTTAAGTTGATATCTTTAAGAGAAGTGATGGTATGTTAGAGAAACTTAGGACTATACAATTAGCTAAGAAGCAAATTGCCTCTTGATAGTGTCTAGAGTCAGCAAGTATTTAGGTTTTTGTAGGTCTATCGATCTATCAAAACACAAGAAAAAAATATAAATGAATTGTAATATAATTAAAAATAAAGAATACATATTATGATCGTTTTTGATTAGCAAATCTAGGGTAACTTT